TGTACTTTGGCAGCAACCTCCTCCGACATATTAAGAGCTGCCATTACTTCATCTTCTTCTTGTTCGGGTCCTTCAGTGAGCGGTGAATCGTACTTCTTAGGTTTTTTCGCCTCAGGCGATGTGGTTGAGTCGTCCGAGGAGTCCGATGATCTAAATGCTCTTTTGCTGAGTAGATTATTGAAAAATTCGGCCATTAGCCACCATGCAAAGTGTAAAGTTTGCGGACAGTCACATCGAAGGTCTTTACTCCGCCATTACTCGACCCAGTCCCCCATCCTTGAGAAACTTGCTCTTTCACCTCGTTCAGCGCATCAGTCTCCACTTAAAATCAACAGATCTTTACTTATTTTGTACAACGAAGGTCTTTCCTAAGTTCCTGCTACCATTTCAATCTCAAGCAAGCTTTCAAAGTGAACAATCTGGTTCCTATGACTATGCAGCACGGTCGCTGTCACTGGTGGCGTGCTCTTTGACAAGTCAGCGGTCGCGCATGCTCATGCAAAAAAGACCCCTGTTCCTTGGGTCAAAGCTCAGATAGAAGTGTCAAGCACCTTTGTTTATGACTACAAAATGAGCACAGGCGGCAATTCTGTAAGGAATTCGAACCTCGCCCAGGGGGAACGAACAACAAAGAATTCCATGCCTGCGAACCGATCTTTTTATTGCAGAGCAAAATATAATGATCAAGAAAACTACTACCGAGACATTGAAGGAAGGAGTCACGACAATTTTCAGAGCTGTATATTTATACACGATGATGTACTTGTACAGTTGAAACAAGCTAATGAGAAGATTCAAAGACAGGGAACGAGCCTGAGGCAGATGCGGAAAGATCTAGACGATGCAACAAAGCAGGCTCAAAACGCAATGAATGGCTTTGAAAACCTGGCGGAATATCTAAGGAGAGACTGCATTGAAATTTCGGGCGTCCCACCGAGTGAGAATTACACGTGTAATCAGCTTGTAATGGCGGTTGGGCAAGCTATCAGCGTACAAGTGAAGGAGGAAGATATATCGACCTCTCACCCATTGCCAACTTTTAAAGAAGATGCACCACCAAAGATAATACTCAAGTTCACGAGAAGGGATATGAGGAATAGCTTCTATACGAACCGAAGGAAGCTTATTGACAAGAAAGCTAGTGACCTCCCCGATCTTGGTATCACTGCCGAAAGCAAAGTATACATATCCGAATCCCTGACCAGGCTGTTCGGCGATGTTAACAAGCTGAGGAAAAAGATCACATGGAAACATATCTGGACTCAGAACAGCCGAATCTATGTTAAAGAATCAGATAAGTCAACCGTAGTGGTAATTGATTCATACGAAGCCCTCGATAAAGTTAAGAGCAGCCCTTTCCCACGCTCAAACCAGTCTTGAATTGGAATCGCTCCTATAAGATAAGTAGTGTAGCCGGTGTATTACTTCTATTATGTTGTTACTATTTACTAAGTATTTATTACCAAAATTTTCCATAGCTTATTATACTGCACTATCATAATGACTCCGCTACCGGTATTAGAGTAATTCCAAATTACTCTTTTCCTTTTCAAGATTTGGAAAATGATGAATTCCTGGGAAGATCGACTTTCTGGAAAAGTAGACTTACACAGGGATATAGTTGTTTCACCAGACAAAAAAGAACCCTTTTAAGTGCGCTAATGATAATTACATTGAATCTCACTATTACTCAGTTAAAAAGTCTGGCAAAATATTTGATGACGCTTGTAAACAAAAAGGGTTTTCGATATTCCACTGTAATATTCGTAGTTTGGAAAAAAACAAATCCTTGCTGCATGATATTTTAAGCACAGTTAAGACAACGCCAGATATCATTGCAATATCAGAGAGTAAAACTAGTGAAAATATGAGTGCAAATTTGAATATTCCTGGTTATGCTTTTGTGAACACTAACTCAAAAACGCAGGCAGGATTTACTTGCAGTTGACTTCAAAAGCTTGATATCAACTGATGTGTAACTACCATTGTAGACAATCTGAGTGCGATCACCTAGACCGTCATGCTCCTTTGCGCAAAGCATCAAAACGGCAACGAAAGCGTTTAGAAAGGCCTTGGATTTCGAAAGCAATCATGCACTCAATCAGACAAAGACACAAATTAGTAAAGACTTATTTGTACAGTACGGACCCAGGCAAACTAAAAGAGTATAAAGCATATAGTAATAAGTTGAATAGGATTATACACGCAGCTAAAAAGAATTATTTTTCTAAACAATTTGAACTGAACAAAGAAAACATAAAATGCACATGGAAATTAATTAGCAAAGTAATAAAAACAAAAAAAAGAAAATACTCAACATACAATCAAGAAACTGCTGCGTGACAATAGAATTTATATAGACAAGCAGAGTATTTGTGATCAATTAAACAGCCATTTTATAAATGTTGGAAATGGCCTAGCAGATAAACTATCAAAACATGACATAGACCCTTCAACGTATTTAGATAGAACTATGACACCAAATGGTTTTATGTTCAGTGGCATTTGCGCAACTGAAGTAAATGACAAAATAATGAGTTTGAAAGTAGACAAGTCGGCATTAGATATTCCAAGAAGATGCATAAAATACGCAGCAAACCATATATATGAGGCATTAAGTATGGTTTTCCATCAATCTCTATTGCAAGGAATATTTCCGGAAAATTTTAAAGTTTCAAAAGTCACACCAATAGATAAAGGGGGTGAGGACATGGATCCTTTTAGTTATCGACCTATCTCTACACTCTCTGCACTAACCCAAATTTTCGAAAAAATCATTTGTGAACAGCTTGTTAATTATTTGGAAAAGCATGAAATCCTATACGAGTTCCAATTTGGCTTTAGAAAGGGACATTCAACCTCACAAGCCATTTCAGAAATTGCTGATAATTTACGTAATGCGACAGATAACAATTTGTATTCCTGTGGCGTGTTTTTGGACTTTTCCAAGGCGTTTGATACGGTGAACCACACAATTTTACTTAAAAAAATGGAACGGTACGGGATACGTGGCGTGCCTCTCCAACTTTTTGCAAGCTATCTCACAAATAGACAGCAATATGTACATATGGGAAATACAGTTTCGTCAAAGCAAACAATGACGTGCGGTGTTCCACAGGGGAGTTCTCTAGGCCCAGTATTATTTTTAATCTACATAAACAATTTACCAAACTGTTCAAATGCTCTAACATTTAGAATATTTGCAGACGATACAAACGTTTTTGCCTCAGCCCGCAACCTGAAAGATCTTGAGGAAATAGTTAACTCTGCACCTAAAAAAGTGAAAATATGGTGTGATGTAATAGATTGTCAATTAATTTCACTACAACAAACTTCATGATCATTAAATCGTCAAAGAAAAAAGATGACCAAGTAAATATCAAGATTGAAAGTGCAGATGGTGCAATAAATGTGCTGCAAAGGAAGCAAAAAGTAAAATATCTAGGTGTGTTGCTTGATGAAACGATGTCTTGCAATCACCATATTTCATACATCTGTACAAGAATTGCGCGAAACAATGGTATTATATCTAAGCTCAGACATTATCTAACTCTTCTGCAAATGAAACAAATCTACTACAGCTTAATATACCCATATATCCCTTATGCAGTATTAGCATGGGGGAGTGCATACAAAACACATATTGATAAGATACAAGCTAAGCAAAATCATTCTGCTAGGCTTATTTTCTTTGCCACCACTTATGGTGAACACACAGAAAGCGCACTTCCCCTGCTAAATTTATTAGACGTTCTTACGGTACATAATGTTTATCGATTTCAGATTCTAAAATTCACGTACCTCTGGCCTAAAGGCCTCCTGCCAAAGCTGTTCTCAAACTATTTTCAATATGCCAGTAATGTCCACAAATACAATACCAGATATGCATCGAAACAGAATCTTTACGTAAAAAAAGTGCGGTGCGAACTCATACGGGGAAACGAACAATCGGATATGCTGCATGTACCGTCTGGGACAAAATTCCCTTAACTCTTAAAGAACTAAACACATACCAATTCCAAGAACAATTGAAAACTTATTTTCTGTCAGAACAACATAGTTAACATAACTTAAGCATATACTCTTTCTTTCTTAACACATTGTATTTTAAAACTGCTTCTTTGGAAATAAACTCTATCTCAGTTCTCTAAAACTTTAAATTCTGGAGAACTGGCTAGAAAATCTGAGGATTATTTCAGCTCCAGGCCTTATTAAGTACAAATAAATACATTTAGTATATACTAAAACAGTGGATAGTGTTTTTCGCGCGCTCTGATTGGCTACTCAATCAGTGAATATCCTGCACTATTCACTGATTCACCTCCAGTTATCACGAGAAGGGATATGAGGAATAGCTTCTATACGAACCGAAGGAAGCTTATTGACAAGAAAGCTAGTGACCTCCCCGATCTTGGTATCACTGCCGAAAGCAAAGTATACATATCCGAATCCCTGACCAGGCTGTTCGGCGATGTTAACAAGCTGAGGAAAAAGATCACATGGAAACATATCTGGACTCAGAACAGCCGAATCTATGTTAAAGAATCAGATAAGTCAACCGTAGTGGTAATTGATTCATACGAAGCCCTCGATAAAGTTAAGAGCAGCCCTTTCCCACGCTCAAACCAGTCTTGAATTGGAATCGCTCCTATAAGATAAGTAGTGTAGCCGGTGTATTACTTCTATTATGTTGTTACTCTTTACTAAGTATTTATTACCAAAATTTTCCATAGCTTATTATACTGCACTATCATAATGACTCCGCTACCGGTATTAGAGTAATTCCAAATTACTCTTTTCCTTTTCAAGATTTGGAAAATGATGAATTCCTGGGAAGATCGACTTTCTGGAAAAGTAGACTTACACAGGGATATAGTTGTTTCACCAGACAAAAAAGAACCCTTTTAAGTGCGCTAATGATAATTACATTGAATCTCACTATTACTCAGTTAAAAAGTCTGGCAAAATATTTGATGACGCTTGTAAACAAAAAGGGTTTTCGATATTCCACTGTAATATTCGTAGTTTGGAAAAAAACAAATCCTTGCTGCATGATATTTTAAGCACAGTTAAGACAACGCCAGATATCATTGCAATATCAGAGAGTAAAACTAGTGAAAATATGAGTGCAAATTTGAATATTCCTGGTTATGCTTTTGTGAACACTAACTCAAAAACGCAGGCAGGATTTACTTGCAGTTGACTTCAAAAGCTTGATATCAACTGATGTGTAACTACCATTGTAGACAATCTGAGTGCGATCACCTAGACCGTCATGCTCCTTTGCGCAAAGCATCAAAACGGCAACGAAAGCGTTTAGAAAGGCCTTGGATTTCGAAAGCAATCATGCACTCAATCAGACAAAGACACAAATTAGTAAAGACTTATTTGTACAGTACGGACCCAGGCAAACTAAAAGAGTATAAAGCATATAGTAATAAGTTGAATAGGATTATACACGCAGCTAAAAAGAATTATTTTTCTAAACAATTTGAACTGAACAAAGAAAACATAAAATGCACATGGAAATTAATTAGCAAAGTAATAAAAACAAAAAAAAGAAAATACTCAACATACAATCAAGAAACTGCTGCGTGACAATAGAATTTATATAGACAAGCAGAGTATTTGTGATCAATTAAACAGCCATTTTATAAATGTTGGAAATGGCCTAGCAGATAAACTATCAAAACATGACATAGACCCTTCAACGTATTTAGATAGAACTATGACACCAAATGGTTTTATGTTCAGTGGCATTTGCGCAACTGAAGTAAATGACAAAATAATGAGTTTGAAAGTAGACAAGTCGGCATTAGATATTCCAAGAAGATGCATAAAATACGCAGCAAACCATATATATGAGGCATTAAGTATGGTTTTCCATCAATCTCTATTGCAAGGAATATTTCCGGAAAATTTTAAAGTTTCAAAAGTCACACCAATAGATAAAGGGGGTGAGGACATGGATCCTTTTAGTTATCGACCTATCTCTACACTCTCTGCACTAACCCAAATTTTCGAAAAAATCATTTGTGAACAGCTTGTTAATTATTTGGAAAAGCATGAAATCCTATACGAGTTCCAATTTGGCTTTAGAAAGGGACATTCAACCTCACAAGCCATTTCAGAAATTGCTGATAATTTACGTAATGCGACAGATAACAATTTGTATTCCTGTGGCGTGTTTTTGGACTTTTCCAAGGCGTTTGATACGGTGAACCACACAATTTTACTTAAAAAAATGGAACGGTACGGGATACGTGGCGTGCCTCTCCAACTTTTTGCAAGCTATCTCACAAATAGACAGCAATATGTACATATGGGAAATACAGTTTCGTCAAAGCAAACAATGACGTGCGGTGTTCCACAGGGGAGTT